ACTGAAACCAATGATAAATACTTCATTGCTTGTAAAGTTATTTCCAGTTTTGCCTTCTTACCTGCTAAAAAATCTTCATCAAAATCTACCCTTGCTTCACGTGACTTAATTTCACTTTCCGCCATGACTAAAATACAAAGGAAAACAAATAGTCGTATTCTTTTTGTTCACATTCTCGAATCTATCCATATTATTCTTTTTTTAAACGTCACTACCAAACACCAGTTATGAACATGACTGTCTTGAACTTGCTTAAAGTCAACCAATCCCGTTTCAATTAACTTCCATGACAGCAGCCCGCCCGGCTCAGTCAATTACAAAGATGTTAATTTACTTCTCAAGAGTGTGGACAAAGGAAACAATTCGAGGGCGCTGAATTGCACAATAGTAAAAATAGGTCAGGCGATAGGGGGTCCCTCTTATTATTTAAAACATTGATGTGCCTCGTGACCATACGAAAGTATGACCATAATACACGTGAAACAAAGCTCTATAAGAGAACGATGAAAGTTTACATTAGAGCCGTCAAAAAATTGTATTTAGTCTTTGGCAGAAAGACCAAGTTTTGAATGTAACGGTTGTGTGACTTGCATAAAAGTCGCAAGTAAGAGTTACTTAACTAAGCTGGNAGTCTTTGGCAGAAAGGCCAAGTTTTGAATGTAACGGTTGTGTGACTTGCATAAAAGTCGCAAGTAAGAGTTACTTAACTAAGCTGGTCGTTTTCAAACACAAAACCGAAACAGAAGATAATTTTACCTTGATTTATAACAATCACATCGGCAAGGACAATAAGGCGAAAACGAGGAGAGATTAACTGAGAAAAAGAAGTCAAAACGTATTTCTTCGAACAGGCAAAAAGTTTGCACCACCACCCCCCGGACACAATACATTGAAAATCAAATTATTCCACAGCCCATAAAGACAAAACAAATTCAGTGAACATGGCTGACTAAAAGTTTTCCATTCTTAATGCCGGCGAAGGAGACTGCATGCAATCCTGCACTTTCGCTATCGTCCGTTGTACATAAGTTTTATCTCGACAGAGAGTTCAAATCAGAGAGCTAAGCAATTTCTTTGCATTAACTAATTAACATTTAAAAAGTGCGGCCAAATTTAAAATACAGACAATGAGTACAAGAGAGATTATGAATAATCATATAGAAAACCTACCTCAGGCCTTCACTTGGGCTGAACAGAAGACTATAATTCAGATGACTCGGAATCCTATAAAGAAAAGTTTACAGCAATTACTGCACGGGTCGTTTAAAAACATTGGAAAAGCTTGAGTTTCTGAATCTTAGACACTTCTGCAAAACTAACGTTACCATGCATTGTAAAACGACTGAATGTGAAACCAAAAGTTGAAGTACAAATAATCAAATGGGGTTTTTCCCTCATTCCATGAAAGATCAGCACATCTGGCTCGTGACCTCATAATAATAACCTGGCTTGTACACGTGATCACTAGTGTAAGAGAAAGGATTCGACAAGTCGCCTGTATGTTAATTACTTGATTACTTGGTATTTTTTGTCAGTTTTTCATTTTTGATCACGAATCCACCCTTATTGCGCAAGTAGCGTATTTATTCGATTAAATGCCGCGGCGTTTAATAAATTCTACGTGATTCTAATGCTGCGTTTATAAGAGGGCGGCGTGTATTTAAAATCCAATTTATTTATTGAAAACAATAGCATGGTAACAACATTTAAATTTAAAAAAAAAAACAGAAACACGTTTAAGTGCTTGTCTAGAACGTCATTTTCTATATCGTTCTCACTTTCACAATTTGAATGTTAAAACTATTGCAATACACTAAGTGAATAAAGTTCACTCAATTTCAATGTCAATGTCCTCCTCATGAGCCAGTAAACTACTCCGCTTTGACAACGACACTGTGCGTTGCGAGAATTCTGGAGAGGGAGCTTAGTGAAAGAGCATTGAAGTATACTCTCTTCGAACTGAAAAACATTGCTATCTCCAAACCTTAATTAAGCTATTCTGTCAACTACCCTATATTGTTCTCGTATTTTGATTATATTCCTGTGAGCTTCGAATGTAATGATCAAGGAAAATACATTTTTTAGGCCTTCTAAAACTGGGATATTACCGCATTTGCTTTTGAGTCTATTTTTCGACTGAACGCCGCATCATGATGCGTTTATTCGAGGGCGACGTTTATGAATATTTCTGCTCTAAAATGCGGCGTTTAACACCAAATGACTGTCAGCTACGTCCAATTCGTGACACATCCTGTCTAGTTTCCCTTGCTCTCCTTTCCCCACCCTGCCCAGAAGAGCTGTAAAGACAGCTTCCTCGCGAATATCACAAAACCCCTACAACAGCGAAAGTCTATCAACTTTACTGTTCTCGTTCAGACATTTTCTTTTTCACACTTGATTACTTCGCAGGATATATCATGACAACGAGCAATTCTCAGTCACCAGCAAGTAACGTCATCAACAAAATACACATTAACACCGCTGAAAGTCGGATACGACATAGCTCCACTAAGATCACGTAACGTGCCTCCTTCCACTTTAAAAAACACACAGTCGCCCTTTGAAAAATGAATACGAAACAATTGAATATTCGGGTATAAAGTTGAGGCCGGAAAGCACGTTTGATACGGGAATTTGAATGACATTCAAAATACTTCAGTGATATCAAGTGATCAGTGTCACAATTTCTGGATATCTTATGCATAAGACTGAGTAACGCTGCGAAAAAACACATACAACAGCAGCATTTTCAAATATTAAGGACAATTTAAATACTTCATTTCCCACAAGAAACTAGATCTGAAATACAGACAATGCGTATGGATTCAAAATGCGTCGACAAACATTATACGTCTATTATGAATCGAATACGTACCTCAGCTCAAACCTTCATTTCAGCTGATCAGGAAGAAAACTATGATTGATGGTCTCAGATGACTTGTTAGCCTATGGAGAACAGATTACAGCAATTACTGCACGAGTCGTTGAGAAACAATGGAAAAGTCTGAGTTCCTGAATCGACTAGACCTTACCGTGTACAGAAAATGATTGAAAGCGAAACCAAAACTTAAATCACGAATAAACAAATAAGGGTTTTTTCCCTCTTACAATAAAAGATCAGCGCTCTGGCTTGTTACTTCATAATATTATTCTGGCTTGTACACGCGATCAAGAGTGTAAGAGAAAGGATTCGAAAAGTCGCCTGAAATACACACATACCTCAGCTCAGACCTTCACTTCAGCTGATCAGACAGAAAACTATGATTCAGATGATCTCAGATGACTTGCTAGGCTATGGAGAACAGATTACAGCAATTACTACACGAGTCGTTGAGAAACGTTGGAAAAGTCTGAGTTTCTGAATCGACTAGACCCTTCCGGTGCATGGAAAATGACTGAAAGCGAAACCAAAACTTGAATTACAAATAATCAAAAAGGGGTTTTTCCCTCATTCCATGAAAGATCAGCGCTCTGGCTCGTGACCTCATAATATTAATCTGGCTTGTACACGCGATCAACAGTGTAAGAGAAAGGATTCGAAAAGTCGCCTGTGTGTTAATTACTTGATTAATTGGTATTTTTGGTTAGTTTTTCATTTTTGATTACGAATACAACTTTATGGCGCAAGTATTTAAACACCAAATGACTATCAGCTATATCAATCCTTGACAGATCCTGTCTAGTTCTCCTTGCTCTCCCTTACCCCACCCTGCTCAGAGGAGCTGTAAGGAGAGTTTTCTCGCAGGCTACTTCTCAAATATCACAAAAACAGTCCACCATTTCGTTCAGGCTCTTTCTTTTTCGCACTTGATTACTTTTAAGGATATATCGTGACAATTAGCAATTCTCAGTCACCAGCGAGTAACGTCATCAACAAAATACACATTAACACCGCTCAAAGTCGAATACGCCACAAAGCTCCATCATTAGCTAGATCACCTGACTTGCCTCCTTTCCCTTTGAAAAACACACTGTCGCCCTTTGAAAAATGAATACGAAACAATTGAATATTCGGGTATAAAGTTGAGGTCGGAAAGCACGTTTGGTACGGAAAGTTGAATGACCTTCAATAAACTTCAGTGATATCAAGTGATCAGTGTCGCCAATTTCTGGATGTCTTATGCATATGATTGACTAACGTTGAGAAAAAACACATACAACAGCAGCATTTTTAAGTATTAAGCAAAATTTGAATACTTCATTCCCCACGAGAAACCAGATCTAAAATACAGACAATGCGTATGGATTCAAAATGCGTCAACAAAGATTATGCATCTATTATGTATCGAATACGTACCTCAGCTCAGACCTTCACTTTAGCTGATCAGACAGAAAGCTATGATTCAGATGGTCTCAGATAACTTGCTAGCCTATGGAGAACAGATTACAGCAATTACTACACGAGTCGTTGAGAAACATTGGAAAAGTCTGAGTTTCTGAATCGACTAGACCTTACCGCGTATAGAAAATGATTGAAAGCGAAACTAAAAGTTGAATTACAAATAAACAGCAAGGGGTTTTTCCCTCATTCCATGAAAGATCAGCGCTCTGGCTCATGACCTCATAATATTAATCTGGCTTGTACACGTGATCAGTAGTGTAAGAGAAAGGATTCGAAAAGTCGTCTGTGTGCTAATTACTTGATTACTTGGTATTTCTTGTTAGTTTTTCATCTTTGATTACGAATACAACTTTATGGCGCAAGTATTTAAACA